ACCCCCCACCTCGCGGCCTGTTTCTGGAAGTATATCGAGAGTTTGCTGGGGCGCGGGCGCCTGAACACCTGCTTCTTGCCCAGCCCCTCCTGCTCCCCCAGCCTAACCCCCTCGGCATCCCGATTCTTTGGGGGGCTAGCGCCTCCTCAGATTGCGCCCTGGGCGGAGCGGGGGTCATCGAGAGGCGACGCGGATGCGATAAGCGCAAAGCCGACGCTCGGGCCTGGACACCTGAGGACACGCAGAGGGGGCAGCGAGCCTCATGCACCTTCTCCACCGCCGCCTCCACCTCCTCCTCCTCCTCCTCCTTCTGCTCCTCCCCTTCCTCGTCCTCCTCCTCCTCCTCCTCCTCCTCCTCCTCCTCCTCCACCTCCTCTGCAACTCCTGTTCCTCATCCTGCTCCTCCTCCTCCTCCTCCTCCTCCTCCTGCTCCTCCTCCTCCAACTCCAATTCCAGCTCCAACTCCTGCTACTGCTGCTGCTGCTCCTCCTTCTCCTCCTGCTCCTCCTCCTCCCTCCTTCTCCTCCTCCTCCTCCTCCTCCTCCTCCTCCTCCTCCTCCTCCTCCTCCTCCTCTGCAACTCCTGTTCCTCCTCCTGCTCCTCCTCCTCCTCCTCCTCCTCCTCCTCCTCCTCCTCGTCTCCCCCTTTCACTTTCTCCTACTCTGCAGCAGGGGATCAGGAGCAGTAGCAGCAGCAGCTGGAACAGGAACAATAGCAGGGTCAAGAGGAAGAGGAGGAGCAGGAGCAGGAACAGAAGCAGGCGGAGTGAGGATCACCAGGATCAGGAGTTGACGGAGGAACAGACGGAGCAGGAGGAGCAGGTGGACGAGGAGGCGGAGGAGACATCAGCCCAGGGCAGAGGGCGGCGTTTGGGACCGACCAGCTTTCCCGTCGGGGCGTGAACGGCCTCGGGGCGGCACGTCCAGTGGGGCGCCGCCGGATCTGCCGCGGGAGAGCCGAACGGGGGCGGAGCGCGGAGCGCGGAGCCGGAGAGTCTGGGGAGCGGGAGCGGCACGGCGGCGGGCGGCGATGGCGCCATCAGCTTGGCCTCCTCCTCCTCCTCCTCCTCCTCCTCCTCCTTCTCCTTCTCCTCCTCCTCCTCCTTCTCCTCGGCCTCCTCCGCCTTCTCCTCCTCCTCCTCTTCTCCTCCTCCTCCTCCTCTATTCTCCCCCGCCTTCTCCCCACCTCACTCCTCCTCCTTCTCCTCCTCCTCCTCCTCCTCCGCCTCCTCTCCTCCTCCTTCCCCTCCTTTTACCTTCTCCTCCCCCCTCCCTCCTCCTCCTCCTCCTCGCTCCTACTCCTCCTCCTCCTCCTCCTCCTCCTCCTCCTCCTCCTCCTCTTCTCCTCCTCCTCCTCCTCCTCCTCCTCCTCCTCTCCTCCACCTCCACCTCCTTCTTCTCCTCCCCCTCCTCCTTCCCATCCTATCCCTCCTCCTATCCTCCCTCCTCTGCCCCCTCCTCCTCTCCTCCTCCTCCTTCCTCCCCCTCCCTCCGCCTCCTCCTCCGCTTCCTCCTCCTCCTCCTCTCCCTTCCTCCGCCTCCTCCGCCCCTTCTCCCCTCCGCCTCCTTCTCCTCCTCCTCCTCTCCTCCTCCGCCTCCTCCTCCTCCTTCGCTCCTCCTCCTCCTCCTGCTCCTACTCCTGCTCCTCCTGTTCCTCCTGCTCCGTCCTAGCTCCTCCTCCTCCCCTCCCCTCCTCCTCCTCCTCCAGTCTGCCTTCATCCTTCGCCTCATCCTCCTCCTCCTTCTCCTCCTCCTCGCTCCTCGTCCTCCTCATCCTTCTCCTCCTCCTCCTCCTCCTCCTCTCCTCCTTCCTCCGTCTCCTCTCCTCCGCCTCATCCTCCTCCGTCTCCTCCTCCTCCTCCTCCTCCTCCTCCTCCCACCTTCTCCTCCTCCCCGTCCTTCTCCTCTTTCTCTTCCTCTTTATCTTCTCCTCTAATGTGCAGCTTCGGCGTGGCCCTGAGGCCACTTCTGGGCGTAGGGGGGCACGCTTCTCCTTCCTCCTCCTCCTCCTCCTCCTCCATTTCCACTTCCTTCTCCTTCTCCTCCTCCTCCTTCTTCCTCCTCCTCCTGCTCCTCCTCCTCGTCCACGCCCCGTTTCCCCTTTCCCTCCCAATCATCCTGTTCTCTCCTTTATAGATATCGCTTCCTCGTAGGGAACCAGACGTGTGAGGCGGGCGAGCTGGACGTGTCGCCTGAACACTCCTCATCGCTTTGGTCCTGAAGCCCAGAATGTCCAACAGTTGTAAGCATGGTGGATGGATTTCAACAAGAGGTTGGGGGGTGATATCGAAGTAAAGCGGAGTCCCCCAAGCGGGAAACATTGTCCCGTTGATTTTCTCTTGTTTGTCCTGTGGTTGCTATGTGGGTGTTTTTTTGTTGTCCTGCGGCAATTCCGTGGTTGCCCTGTGGTTGTGTGGCGATTGTCCTGTGGTTTGTCTCGTGGTTGTTCTGTGGTTGTCCCACGGTTGTCCCGTGGTAGCTCTGAGATTGGTCGGCGGTTGTCCCGGTGGTTGTTCCGTGGCTGTCCCGTCGTTGTCTTGTGGTTGCTTCCTGCTTGTTTCGCGATTCTCCCGCGGTTGTCCCTCGGTTGTTTTGTGGTTGTCTTGTGGTTAGCCCGTGGTTGGTCCGCGGCTGTCTTGCGGCTGTGCCGTGGTTGTCCTGGGGTTGTTTTTGTGGTTGCCCCGATGTTGTCCCGTGGTTGTCCTATGGTTGTCCTGTGGTTGTCCCGTGGTTGGTCCGCGGCTGTTCTGCGGCTGTCCCAAGGATATCCTGTTGTTTTGTGGTTGCCCCGCTGTTGTCTCGTGGTTGTCCTGTGGTTTTCTTTGGTTGTCCTGTGGCTGTCCCGTGGTTGCCCTGGTGGTTGTCCTGCGGTTACCTTTTGCTTGTCCTGTGGTTGGCTCGTGGTTGTCCTGTGCATGGTCCGTTGTTGGCCCGCGGTTGCATTGTGGTCGCCCTTTGGTTGTCCCGTTGTTGTTCTATGACTCTACCGCGGTCTTCCCGTGGTTTCCCCGTGGTTGTCTTGCGGTTGTCCCGTGGCTGCTCCGTGGTTGTACCGTGGTTGCCCCCTGGTTGTCCCGCGGTTGTCTCGCGATTGTTTCGTGGTTGTTCTGTGGTTTTCTAGATGGTAGTCTAGATTGTTGTTCCTGTGGTTGTCTCGTGGTTATGTCGTAGTGTGTTTGTGTGTTCCGCGATTGTTTCGCTGGTTGTTTATATGGTTGTTTCGATTGTTGCCCCGAGGGAATTATGTGGTTGGGTTGTGGTTGGTCCAGGAGTGTTTGAAATGGTATTCCTATTGATGTTCCGATGTTTGCTCCGTGGTTGGCCGATGACAAGAGAGTGAGACTGATCAGTAGCCAGATCGAAGGACATTATTTCGATCGAGCGACAGGTCGATCAATATTTGTGGTAGAGGATCTGGGGTACAGTATATATACATGTATATGTATACACATAGAGATAGATATACACATACGCATGGGTCATGGCGTATCTAACCATTCCTGCAAAAACGCATGCGTCGGCGCTGTTGAGTTTCATCCTGCCTTGTCTTTCCCTCTCGGGATGGCGGATACGCCAGGATCCATGCTACGAATTCGGAAGTTTTTCCAGGCACCCGCATCTCTCGGGTTCTTTCCTACAGCGGGGCCCACCCAGAGCCCTCGCGCTCCCCCACCGGTCGGGGAGTCGGTACAGGGGTGGGGGTGTGGGGGGGGCAGAGCGCAGACAACAAAACAACACAGAACAAGCAACATGTAGTTTTGGGTGTTCGTATTTGTATTCCTCCTTCTCCTCCTCCTCCGCCTCCTCCTCCTCCTCCGCCTCCTCCTCCTCCCCCTCCTCCTCCTCCTCCTCCTCCTCATCCTCCTCCTCCTCTGCCTCCTCCTCCTCCTCCTCCTCTGCCTCCTCCTCCTCTGCCCCCCTCGATGGGGGAGGGGGTGGATTGGCGACGGCCCGCCGCCCAGGCACTGCACCGCACCGCCCCGCGTAGGCCCCCCACAGCAGTAGGGGATTACATGGGGAGCCTCGAGCCCCGAGGCGCCCGAGAAGCCTTTTCCCAACCCCCTGGAGTGAAGTCGGGAATGCCGCTCTGCAGGAGGAATATGATGGGCATGTTTTCCACCACCAACACCAGCATAAGCTGGAGGGGGGAAGGAGGTCGAGGATAAGGAGGAGGAGGAGGAGGAGGAGGAGGAAGAAGAAAAAGAAGACGAAGAAGAAGAAGAAAAATATTAGGGGGAGGATAACCCCCTCCCCCCTCCAACTTCTGGTGGCGGTGGTGGTGGAAAACAGGCCCATCATAATTTGCAGAAACAGAGAATTGTTGTATGGCGACGGTTTTTAAAACCATGTTCGACTATTTTTGAACATGTTTGACAAAGTCGTTTTTCTCCCAAAATCCGCCTGTATGAGGACATGCCCGGGCTGACCCTAGAGCCCTCGAGATCACTCGTGAGCCCGCTAGATCCCTCTAGAAGGGTCTACGGGGTTCACTAGGACCGCCAAAGCTTTCCAGAGCCACCTTGGACCATCGAGACCACTCGGGTGCCCTCTAGATTCCCCTGGCCTTCGAGAACACTATGGTGGAACCTTCTGGGGCCTTCTGGCTCCTTCTAGAAGCCTAGAGCCCTGTAGCGAATTCGTGAACACTCTGGAGACTATCATCGCATCCCCGAGCCATCAGCTCACACTCCCAGAACATTTAGCCCTCCAGCGCACTCTAATACTTCGTTTACCACCAGGGACCCTCCAAAGCCCTCCAGAGCCTTCGTGTTTCTAGAGCATTCAAGAATCGGCTCGAGCCCTCTGGCGCCCCCCACCGAAAGCTAGTTCTCAACTCTAGAGTTCTCGAGTGAGCCCGAGAGCAAACGAAATCAGATTACAGTCGGACCGAGACATAAGATCGAGGACGGTTCGGGGAGGGTACCCTGGTGTTCTTCATACTTGCTGGATGTTCTTGTGCATCCTGGGGAGGGTTACCCTTGGATGTTCTGTGCGATTTGGCCGGCGGAGGGTCTCATGTTCTTGAGGGATGTTGTTCTTGTGGCCTAGGTCCGACTGTAGATCTTTCTAGAACCCTTAAAAAGTGTATGCTGGAGCCCTCTGATCACCACCCACCAAACCACCCCAACCCAACCCGAGGGCCTCAATGTGCCCTCAATTTCCAGTGCGGAGGGGGATTAGGGAACATTGAAAAAACGCATGTGGAACCCGTACCCCCCCAATCCGAAATTTGGGTCTTCGGGTTAGGTTGGAGTGGTCTGGTAGGTAGTCTTCTGGAGCATACCAGAACCTTTCCCGAGCCTTTTAGGAGCCCTCGAGAACACTCGTATGCCTCCTCGGTCTGTCCAGGGCCCTCTAGAGCACTGTTGAATCCTCCAGAGCCTTCTGGGTCATTCTCTAGAACTGTGTAGATTTCATGGCGCCAACATCGCAGAGCGGATTTCGTTCGGAAAACGATATGGTGGGCCCAGAGTGTCCTGGAGAATTTCGTTCCAGATTTCGAGGTGAATTTCGCGCGGATTTGTTTTGGCTGGGAACGAAGATCAAAAAGAATCCACGCGAAACTCGCTTCGTTTTTAGCTCGCCGCTTCGGGCAAAAATCCACGCAGCAATCCGCTGCAGCACGTCTGCAAGGCCGGCGCAATGAGAGCTGGCTAGATCCTTCCTAGATTTTCGCCTCAAGGGCACTTGAATCATCCAGATCCTTCTCTGGATTTGTAGAGTCCACCCCTCGCAGCATTCTCAATCCCTCTGGAGCTCCCCCCATGGTGCCGTGCTGTGCACTCAAGAGCATTCGAGGAGCCTTGCACAACCCTCTACAGCATTCTAGAGCGCTCTGGCCTTCTAAACTTGCTCGGTGCATTCCAACACATCTTCGGTGGTGGACTCCCAACTCCGCTCAAAGACGGTCCAAAAGGGCCCCATGAGAGCCCAGCTGGCCCCAATCCTGCGCAAGACGGCCACAGGACGGAACCGAACAGGCCCGAGAGGGCCCCAGGATGGCCCAAGACAGAAGAAGGAAGGATTCCGTAGCCATTTTGGCTCAAGCCCTTCTGGCTCAATCCAATGAGGCCGGAGCCATATTGGCTCGAAATGTATCAGTTCGAGGGTTCGAGTGTGCTCAAGGCAGAGACATGGCCCCGCGAATAGACTACGTTGCTGTTGCTTTCGGGCTGGAGAGCGTTACAGCATATACGGTATAGTTATCATGCCTGTATGCCGGCCTCGCTCGAAATTTTGTTTGAATGATGCGCACATGCTCGCGGGTCTGCGAGGAGGGTTGTGCCTGTCTGATCGCTACGAGAACCAAATGAGCTTGCTTCTCTGGCAATGCATCAAGGGGCATCAGTGGAGGGCTCGATTTCGCGGTATCCGGCTTGGCACTTGGTGCCCACATTGCGCCGGCAACGCACCTCTCAGTTTGAATGATGCCTCCCGCATTGCAGATTCCAAAGGTGGACTCTGTCTGTCGGTGTCGTACGTCAACAATCACACTCCGATACATTGGAGATGCGCAGTGGGGCACGAGTGGCTCGCATCTCTCGCTAACGTAAAACATGGGGGAACATGGTGTCCGCATTGTGTATCCAGGGCACCTCTTAGCATTGAGACCGCAAGGCGCTTGGCCGCCATGCGGGGAGGCCAGTGCATGTCAGAAAACTATTTACACGTCCGGTCAAAGTTGCACTGGCAGTGCGCTGAAGGCCACACTTGGTTTGCACGGTTCGGGTCCATCAAGTATCAGAAGTCGTGGTGCCCCGTTTGCTTCAGGAAGCGGGCTGCAGACCGTGACCGCATGCTTGCTATGGCCAAGCTCGTTGCCACAGCCCGAGGTGGCATCTGCGTATCATCGACTTACCAGAACAATCGCACGCGTATGCTCTGGGAGTGCCACGATGGGCATCAATGGGAAGCGACTCTGAACAAAGTCAAAGATGCCAAGAATTGGTGTCCCTTCTGCGCGTCTGGCAAGACTGAGAGACGAGTGAGGGTATTTCTAGAGAATATTTTTCCAGGACATGCGTTCAGGACCCGAAGACCTTCTTTTTTAATGGGTCGAAGGGGCAGGCCACTGGAGTTGGACGGATATTGCGAATCCCTTAGTCTCGCATTTGAGTACAATGGGGAGCAGCACTATAATCCTCAATCTTATTGGAATCGTCACAACAGACATGCTTTTACAAGTCTGCGCGAGCGCGATCAATTGAAGATATCATTGTGCGAGGCGTTTGGAGTTTGGTTGATCATCATTCCATGGACAGTCGAAAACCATTGGTTTTTCCTTCACATTGTTCTGCTACGCTGGTTTAAGATTTCAGAAATCAACTCGTTGTCTTTGACATCCTCGCTGACACGGTGCTGTATTGATTCGGACAGCACAGGTAAGGTCTGCCATGGTACACCAGGTGATGAGTCTGAATGTATACAGATGGGTGACAACACTCATCCTGGACACTCTTTCTCCATTCCCGTATAAGCGAAGACGTGCGCACGTTGTCCCACCGTTCAAGGATACGGAATTCCGTCCCCTATACATGTTTTGCCGAAGCCGCTTCGATCACATGGCGATTTCAGCATTCCGGTTCCAAGGAGTATTCTCTTTGGGACATGTATATTCATGGCATATGTTTGCGTCTTTTGGAGCTGAAAAGTGCACACGACGGCCCCAGAGACCTCCGAGATGGTCCTAAAACAGCCCTAGCAGAAATTCCAAAAGCGTTCCACCACGGTCCCAGAGAGTCCCAAGACAGTCCAGGAAGGGCCCAGCATCGCCCCAGACGGCCCCAAGAGGGCCACAAGAGAGCCCCAAGAGAGGCCCTCGAGAGGGTCAAGAGCGGCTGTCTGGCGCTCTCTTCGGGAGTGAGGCTCTCACCATGCCCTCGAGACCCTCGTGGAAGGCTCTCAGACGCTTCCAAGACGCCTTCAGGCGCTCACGAGAGGCCCTAAACCGCCCCAGCACGTCCCACGATGGTCCTGGCTCCCACGAAGACGTAAGAGTCTGCAAGAAGCCCCCCAGATTTCCGCAAATGGCCCATGGACGATGCAGCATCATTGAGGCAACACAGCCTGCTTCTCCTCCCTCTCTGTCCACCGTCTTCTCATCTGGCTCTTCTTCTCTACCTGTCATTCGTGTCTCTCTCCTCGTTGATCCATCTTCACTCCCCGTCCCTCCTCGCTTCCTCGCCATTCCTTCCCCCACCCTGCTCCTTCGACCTTCCTTCCTCCTACCTATCCTCCCTGATCCCCTCCTTCCCTCGTCATGCCCTCGTCCATCCTCCCTCTTCCCCGCTCCTTCTCTCTTCTTCCTTCTCTCCTCCCTTGTCCCTTCCCGATTACATCTTCCCTTCTCCTTGTTTCCTCTCCCAGCTGTCCTCCAGGAGAATGTGCAACAGCTTTTTGAGCGTTCTGAGACGGTCCCCCAAGGACCTCAAGAGGAGGAGAAGACGACGACGACGAAGTCAGGATGATAATGATGACGACGATGATAAGGAGGAGGACAAGGACAAGTGATGATGATGGTGGTGATGATATGATGATGAGGAGGAGGAGAAGGAGGAGGAGGAGGAGGAGGAGGAGAAGGAGGAGGAGGAGAATAGTCAAGAGAAGTGAGGAAGACGTGGATCGAGGAGTGACGTTGAGGTTCCAGGAGGAGGAGACGGGCGGGTAAAGGAGGAGCAAGAGAAGGAAACGAGAATGAGGAGGAGGAGGAGGAGGCGGCGGAGGAGACCGTGGAGGCGGAGGCGTGTGGAGGTGGAGGCATACGGAAAGGCCATGGGGGGAACAGCCAGGCATAGCGTGACATAGCGTTGCATAGCACGGACCGCGCGCGAGTGGCGCCGACAAATCAAGAAGGATAGGAAAGACCAATGAAGCGAACATATGACAATAGTGGTGGCCCGAGCAGTGTAAAAATACTTCTAGAGACCAGACTGAGGTCAGTTGAGAACATGTCCCAAGTGTTTTTGGGGGAGGTGGCGGTCGGCGGAGATGAGGAAAGCACATGCGTATAAGGAGGCGGAGAAGGACGTGCGCCAGGTATGTTCAAAGTCTGCACGTTGGTGCACACGCAGCGGGAACGTCTATCAACACATCGATTGCGACGGCAATTGCATCGTGGACTTGTATTGCCAAGGTGTAAATGGACAAACCGGCGTTGTTGGATAAGCTCCGTCTTGCGTTCACACGTGGTTCTCCAGTGCGTATGCCGCAACAACGGCAGGTTGACAGTTTCTTCCGCAATCAGTGTTTGCATTGAACGGGGCCTCGCGGATGTTGTATAAGGACTTAGCCAAAGTTCCAAGCAGATTTCGGTGGGCGGTTGGGTTCTTGGTTCCCGAGATTCTCCCTCAACTCCCCGCTTTCGTTTGTTTCACCACAGGTCCTGCGCCTGAGCTCTGCTTGTGTATGTGTGTATACATATAACGGCGCACCGGGTCCGGGGGCCCGGGGCCCCGACCACAAATGTGGGCCCCGGGGGGCCCGGAGGCTCGTCGGACCGCCGGACGCCGTCCAAGATCGTTCGCAGGCGGCTTCGGAACGCGCTCCGATGGCTCCAGATGCCTTCCAAGACGCCTGTCATGACCCAAGAAGGTCCCAGAAGCCTCCAAGACGCTCCGAGAGGCAGCCCAAGAGAGGCCCAAGAAGCAAAAATCGTGCCATTCCTAGGGGAAAATGTATATTTTTCGCATGTTCGCCTCTTGGGCTTTCACCGCGTCCAAGACGGCCCAAGAGGCGCCCAAGACGGACTACGAGGCTCGGGAGCGCTCCGAGGCCTGCGCCACGAGAGTGGCCCAGGATCGGCCCAAGACGGCCCAAGAGAGCCCCAAGACGAGTTGAGAGGGGTCCCAGACGGAGAAAGCCAACCTCGAATTCCGAGCTTCCGGCCCAACACCTCCCAGGAGGCGCCAAACCGCCGCCCAGAGGCGCCAAAAGGCTTCCAAAATCAGCCCAAGACGTTCCGAGAGGCACCCCAAGAGAGGTCCAAGAAGCAAAAATGGTCCCATTCCTATGGGAAAACGTATACTTTTCGCATGGTCGCCTGTTGGGTTTTCACCGCGTCCAACACGTCCGAAGAGGCTCCCAAGACTGCCTAGGTGGCCCCCAAGAGAGTTCCAAGACGGTTCACGAGGCGCCCAGGACGGCAAAATTGGACTCCAAAATGGCCTAAGAGAGCCCCAAGGCGTGCCCGAGAGGGGTCCCAGAGGGAGAAAGCCACTGTAGAATTCCGAGCTTTCGGCCCCAAGAGGCTCCAGAAGGCGCCAAGAGAGCTCCAAGAAGCCCCCACGAGAGACCCAGGACGCCCCAAGAGGCTCCAAAGGCGGCCCAAGAGAGCCCCAAGATGGGCCCGAGAGGGGTTCCACGCAAGTTGTTATTGCATCGCTCGGGAAAGGACGAGGATGAGGAGGAAGACGAGGAGGAGGAGGAGGAGGAGGAGGATTCCTGGGTCTGTGACTCGACAGAACCTAAGCGCGCGCGAAGCGCGCGCGTGGTTCTAGTATATATATATATATACATACAGAGAGAGGGGAGGGTGCGATAGCGAGATCGTTCGATAGATCGCGAATCACCCGAAGGGTGGTCTTATCGCTATGTGTTTACGGCTACAGCGCCGCGCATTTCCGCCGACGAAAATTCCCAATTTTCGCCGACGAAAGTTCCCAACATGTCATTGTTTTGGCCTCTTCAGCGTGCTTAGCAGGTTCATTGACGGATGGCAGATGGTTCTCAGCATGTGGCCTTCGCCGCAGCGCCGCCATCTTAGCAGCTTTCAAGACTGAGGGCACAGTCTTTTTCAAGACCGGGTCTTCACCTGAGACTTCCTCAAATCACATGTCCAGTAGCAGCTGCACGAAGGATTCCTTCTCAACCTGGGGATTTCGTTGGATACGTCTTTGGATTTGTGTTAGGTCCCTAACTCTTCGCACGCCACGTAGCTCGAAGGATGCAGGACAGTTCCTTTTCATAACGGGGCTCTTGCCTGGATGGCAGGCTCATGGGGCGCTCTCTTTTCAAGGGGGCGCTTCCTGTAGAAAAATATGGACTTATGAGGAGCGGACGTGAGACGGGAGGGTGCATTACAGCATCGCTGATGCACCCTCCCCCCTCCCCCACCCTCGGGAGTTGCTGCCGCTCCTGTCGTTTTTGCACCACTTGGATCGTTTCTGCCCGACCCTGCCTGAGGCCACTTCTGCGATGTGCCCACCTCATCCTCCGCCCTTTCCTCCTCCAGCTCCTGTTCCTCCTCCTCCGCCATTTCCTCCTCCCGCTCCTCTTCCTCCTCCTCCTCCTCCTCCTCCTCCTCCTTTCTCCCTCAACCTCCTCCTCCTCGTCATCGTCGTCCTCCTCATTCTCCTCCTCCTCGTCGTCTGGCCTATCCTCCTCCTCCTCCTCCTCCTCCTCCTCCTCCTCCTCCTCCACCTCCTCCCGCCTCCTCCTCCTCCTCCTCCTCCTCCTCCTCCTCCCGCCTCCTCCTCCTCCTCCTCCTCCTCCTCCCGCTTCCTCCTCCTGCTCTTCTTCCTCCTCCTCTTCCTTCCTCGCCTTCTCCTCCCTCCTTCCGCCTCCGCTTCCCCGCACCCCCCCCCTCCCTCTTTCTCCTCTTCCTCGTTGTCCTCGTCGCCTCGTCTTCTTTGTCCTCGAGCGAGAGGCCATCGCGTCCGGCGAGAGTGAGCTCGAGAACAGGATGAAGGAGCAGGACCTGCGCCTCCCCTCCGCGAGGAGTATGAGGGGCATGGGCAGGGCGGAGGAGGGGGAGGAGGAGGAGGAGGGAGAGGGAGAGGAGGAGAGGGAAGAGGGTGACGATGATGATGATGCCGATGATGATGATGGTGATGATGATGATGATGAGGAGGAGGACGGTTATCTTGATGATGACGATGATGATGATGAGGAGGAGGAGGGAATTGATGATGATGATGATGATGGTCATGATGATGATGATGCTGATGCTGATGGTGATGATGATGATGTTTATATGATGTTGATGATGTTGATGATGATGAGGATGATGACGATGATGATGATGATGATGATGATGATGATGACTGATGATGATGATGATGATGATGATGATGATGATGATGGTGATGGTGATGGTGATGGTGATGATGATGGTGGTGACTGTGATGATGCTGACGCTGATGATGATGAATTTGATGATGATGATGCTGATGATGACGATGACGATGGGGATGAGAATGGGGATGAGAATGAGGATGAGAATGATGATGCTGGTGCTGATGCTCATGATAGTGAGGAGGACGCTGATGGTGATGATTATGATGATGCTGATGATGATGATGATGATGATGATGCTGATGCTGATGCTGATGATGATGATGGCGATGGTGATGATGATGATGTTGTTGATGATGATGATTATGGCGATGGTGATGATGATGATGATGTTGATGACGAGAATGATGATGATGATGATGATGATGATGATGATGATGATGATGATGATGATGATGATGATGATGGTGGTGGTGGTGTTGGTGGTGGTGGTGGTGGTGGTTGGTGGTGATGGTGGTGGTGATTGATGATGATATGCTGCTGCTGATGATGATGATGATAATGCTGATTGCGGATGCTGATGATGATGATGATTAGGATGATGATGATGACCATGATGATGATTATGAATGATGATGATGATGATGTGATGATGATGATGATGTGATTATGATGAT